TACTTATTTTTACCTCAGATCCCTAAAGTGGCCCCCTCAAGGATTGAACTCACAACCCTGGGTTTAGCAGGCCAATGCTCAAACCACTGAGCTATCCCTCCCCCCTAAGGAGGGAAGGCATAGTATTATTTATAGTTCCGCATACAGTACACTGAAAATGTTCCGACCCTTCGACTTGAGTGGCAGGCGTGGCAAAGATCTGTAAGACTGTATCCTTCATGAATGTAGATCCCAGTACACACATTCACCCAGAGGATGGCTGGCCGGCCGTGCACTGCTGCTGAATCAACACAGTGGTGCAGAATTCCAACTATGTCTGACACCGATGGCATGTCCAGACAGCAAGGGCTGAAAAAAGTACACACACAAAGACGACAACTGAGAAATGTTAAGCATGAAGGGGATTGCTCGAAAATCCTCCAAAGCCACTAAATGCCTTTGTTAATGTACAGCATGTATTGTTCCCAAATCAACACATTAGTGAAACGGATTAGAGAGGGAGAGAGATGCTACTGGAACATAGTGCCTTCAAGGGCTTTGGTTGGTAAGGAGAAAGGTGCAGGTGTCAGTACACATTGTTGCTTTGCTGCTGGTTCAGACCACATTCCAGCTGCACAGGAAGAGGAATCTCTCCCTTCCATTTGCAGGGAGCAGCAGAATCTAATCCACCTTAAACAAAGCACGCTGAGCCCATCCATTAATTTTCTCGTGTGTCAGAGCAATAATCAGACACACGCTTGATTGTTTTCATGGTCTGGGACCTCTTGAAATTGGCCAGGCTGTAGGTTTGTGTGTGTGTGTGAGCACTTGCCTTTATGCATGGGTGGATATGTGTTTGTTCCAAAGCTCCCTGCATGAAAGCAACCTCTTATCTGCAAGACTGAGCCAAGCTTCGATAAGCAACTCTATCACCCATCACTGCCAGGGCGTTCAGTCCCCAGGCAGTGCTATTTCCAAAGTCACTGAACCTTGAGCAAAGCGGGAGTGCCTGCAACTCAGTCACTAGGTCATCTCGCCAGTGGGGAGCCAACACGACAACAGAGAAATGTCAATGGACAACATTCGGATGCAGCCTTGGAAATTATGTGCCTACCAAGAGCCCTGAAAGGATGCTAGATTTGAAAATCCCTCCCTGAGGGTACTATTATGGAGGATCACTTACAGTCTGTCTATGGTCCTCACAGTGACCTTGTTACCATAAGCACATCATGCTCTTCAATGTATTGGTCCTCAAGACACCCCTGTGAGGCAGACCAGCGCTATCCTCCCTGTTGTACACGTGAGGGAACGGAGGCACACAGAGACTAGGTGACTTGCCCAAGGTCACACAGGAAGTCTGGGCTTAGAGCCAGGAATTGAACCCAGGTCTTTCACGTCAATGTCCTAACCACTAGCTCATTTTTCTTCTCCAAAGAATGCGGAAGTGCACACGTTAGACATTCTCTGAAATCAGCCAAGAGCAGAACTTGAATTCATAACCAGCAGCTGGCCCTTGGGTCCAAGGATTGTTGTCCATCCTCCCGTGCCTCTGAGTGACTGTGGGTGTGTCTACACTTCAATAAAAACCCCACAGCACTGGGTGTCAGGGCCCAAGTCAGCTGACTCCGGACGGCTTGTGGGGCTCAGGCTACAGGACTAACTATAGCAGTGTAGGCATTTGAGCTTGGCCCGGAGCCCGGGGGTTGAGACCCTCCACCCGGCAGGGTCTCAGAGCTCTGGGTCCAGCCCTAGCCTGAATGTCTACACTATAATTTTATAGTCCCAGAGCACTGTCTTGCAAGCCTGAGTCAGCTGACTTGGGCCAGCCACAGCCATGCTGCAGGTCTTTTATTCCAGTGTAGACATGGAAGGTTAGTGGTTGGGAGGAAACCTATGGCTGTACAAACTGAGTGCAAAGTTAGTTAACCCGGTCTTAATGGATGGAGAGCATAATAATTTATACAAAGACGGATTACGGTGAGTACACTGGGAGGAGAGGACATTTCTTGTGGCCCCTCCCAACTAATCCATCTGTATAGGGCAGCCCTATAGACTTGACCCAAAGCCTGTTCAAATCCAAGGGTGTCTTTCCCTTGAGTTGGCTCATGTCCAATACGCACATGGGCAGCATTCCATTTCATCCACCACCAACATGCAGCCACCGCTGCAAGATGAGAAATGTACTGATAAATATTAGGGGGCCGAGGCTCAGATCATGTAAAATGGCACAGCTCCAATGGCTTCAAATGGTGGGCTAAAGACATGGGCTCCACCCTTTGCCCCCAACTCCCTGATCTTACACTCTGCCAAATAAATCCTTTTGTTTAAATTTTGGATTGTGTTCTAAGAAGAAAGGCAGCTGGATAAGGTTGCTAGTTAGCACCTGGGAAAGGGACAACAGAAACACCTGTTTCTGGTGAGGCTGCCTAGCAACACTCAGCAGGGAATACTCTGAACCAAGTCACGAACTCCAGCTTAGACCGGGAGAGCTGATGTTCTGCATGGGAGCTAGGGGCCAGCTTCTCAGCTGGCGAAAATTGGTGCAGCTGCATTGACTTCAGTGGAGCTATGCTGACTTATACTCGCTGAGAATCTGGCCCTGTGTCTTTAATTACACATTAACTTGAAAGTATTTGAAAACCCCATAAATCTCTGGGGCAGGTAACCTGTCTTATGAGGGTGCATGATCCAGTGCATAGAGCACCTCACTGGAAATCAGGGACCTGAGGGCAGGGTGTCTATTACCATCTCTGTCACTGACTCACTCTATGCCCTTGGGCAAGTCACTTCACCTTTCACCTGTTTCCCATCGGCACAATGGGGCCAGTAATGCTTTCCCACCTTTCTAAAGTGCTCTGAGAGGTATCCATGAAACGGGCTATTCAGTGCTAGCTATCACTCTGACTGCATGTTTATGAAGTGTCATGTAGGTTTGTGACACTATAAAAATACCGCAATTTAATACACATAATCTAATGTACTTTCCCCTGCACAATCTGTCCTGTTGGAAAGCACCTTCTCCTTCCCCAAACTTGTCCTTTTTTTTTGCTTAAAGTTAGCACATGCTTCAGAGCTTTGTTCAAGCAGGGCCTGAAACTTACCCACAGTACCAGTAGCTGCCTCCATGAATATGGAAACTATTCCCAGTACTACAGTTTGGCAGGAGCTGACTCCTTTCGCTCACACAGAGTAAATCAGATGGGTATGTTGGACACTGAATGTTCTCTGACTGATTTGGAAAGGCCTGCAAGCAAGTAGTGGGAAGATGGGAGCCTTGAAATGGTTCTGATATTGCATGCAGAGACGACGTAGCAGAGAAAGAATAAACTGGCCACCATACCTATGTGCCATTTTACATGAGACAGATCCAAAGTCAGTGCAGTTTTTACTCAAGCCCTTTCTTGTGTTGAGGTGCCTTGAATACGAGAAATCAGACCCAAGTGCCTTCTGAGCGCCCCCCAGTATAGGTGGAAGATCATCTTGGGATGAATACATTAATATCAGTCCTTCTCTCGGGCTGGCCAGCAGTGATGAAGATTTCCAGATCCCAAAGATTAGTTAGAGCTCTCCGCGTGGTTTCTCTTAAGCAGAAATAACAAAGAAACCAACCAAGAACGGGTGGGTGCAAAGCAGGGTGCTAAAGTCAGAACTCCTGGGATCTATTTCAGCTCCACCTCACAGAGAATGCAGGCAAGTTATTTAAGCTCTTTGCACCTCAGTTTCCCCATCTATAAAATGAGGAGACTAATACTGACCTACATCACTGGAGGACGAGGGGTGCGTAGGGAATGGAAGGTAGCTTCACGGGGCCCTCTGCTTGGCTGGGGCCTTTAATTGCTACTGTAATATAAATACTACTGCTGAATAGGTTCACCACTTACCCACTTGGCAGCCGGACTCCTCAGCCCATCACAAAGAGGGGGGTCGGTTACCCTACAAGAGAAGCAGAGAGAGGGAGAGAAAGCTTTCCATGGTGGGGAAGGGGAAAAAAAGTTCTTCTTCCTCTATGGAAATCTAATCAATTCCTGAGCACATTTGTTTTTTCAACAGACACCCCCCTCACCCCCCGCTGTTCATTTCTGATTGCATTGCCCAGGGGGCTCCTTTTCGGTTACAGTGGCCCCCAAACCAAACCAACGGCTTCATGCTGAGGAATGTGTTTTACTAGCTGCAGCTGCAGCACATGTGTTGGGAATTGATCTTTTCTTTACTTTCAGCCTGAGACTTTTACATTTGACCAAGCGCTCTCAGCCCAGGGGCACCCCCTGGAAAGGGCGAAAGGACAGCAGAGAAATGGCAGTTCGGGGGGGGGGGGCGCTCTCTATGGAGACATTAGAATGATGGTGAGCTGTCAAGCCCTCATCTCACTCCACTTACCGGAGGGGAAGGCCTGTGGAGGGGGGCAGGATGGGATAAGGGCCCTGGGGAGGGAGGGGAGGGAAGCGCAGCTTGCAAAGCAGGATAGGGTGCAAATGGGATGGGGGGCCCTGCAGAGGGTGTGGGATGGGATGAAGGGCTGAAAGGAGAGAGGAGGCAGTGGGTGGGGAATTTCAGGGGGGACTGGGGAAGAAGTGGGGTGGGGTGGGACCCTGGGAGGGGGATGGGATTGGGATGGGTGAGGGGAGGACCGTGGGAGGGGGATGGGGATGGGGATTGGGATAGGTGGGATGGGACCCTGAGAGGAGGATGGGATTGGGGGGAAACTGGGAGGGGGCTGGGAGGATTGGGATGGGTGGGGCGGGGGGTGGGACCGTGGGAGGGGGCTGGGATTGGGATGAGTGAGGGGGGACCGTGGGAGGGGGATGGGATTGGGATGAGTGGGGTGGGACCCTGGGAGGGGGATGGGCATTGGGATGGGTGGGGTGGGACCCTGGGAGGCGATCCGGGGGCAGGGAGCGGGAGGGGACCCTAGGATGGGACTGGGGGCACGGGACGGGACGAGCAGCCGGTGGGGGTGAGGGACGGGGCCCGGGAGGGGAGCAGCTAGGGGGTGGGGCCCGGTGGGGGTGGGGCAAGGCGAGGCCCCGGTCCCGCCCCCCCGGGCTGGGTTAAAAGCCGCCCCGTCCGCGGCCGGCCCGGTTCAGCGGTGTCCGGCCCCAGCATGGCCCAGCAGCGGTGCCGCTCCGTGCTCATCACCGGCTGCAGCCGGGGCATCGGGCTGGGGCTGGCGCGGGGGCTGGCGGCCGCGAACCCCGCTCCGGACTGGGTGATCGCCACGTGCCGCTACCCGGAGAAGGCGCAGGTAAAACGGGAGGGGTCCTGCCGAGAACCGCCCCCCCCCGGCCGGCTCTCCTGGGCTGTGCCGGGCAGGGGTGCAAGTTGTATGGGCCCGTGGGCCGGGCGCTCCCCCGGCCCCGTCCCTCCCGTGAGTGTCCCCCGGCCCGGAGCCCGCAGTGCACGTTGTCTGTGCTCTGCCAGCTCCCGGCATCAACTACTGCCGCAGGGTCCTAGTGCCCCCAGCCCCTAATGGCAGGGCCGGTGCGAGAGCACTTTGTGGTGATACACCGGCTGCCCTTCCTCTGCCCTAGCCCTGAGCCTCTCCAACGTCCCAAACCCCTCACACCCTAATCCTCTGCCCTAGTCCTGAGCCCCCTCCCAGACCCCTCATCCTCTGCACCCCCTCCCATCCCCAAACTCCCTTCCAGAGCCTGCATGCCTGCACCCCAGTCCTCTGCACTCCCTCCTACACCCACACTCCTTGCCCCAGCCCAGAGCCTACACCCAAACTGTCCCAGAGCCTGCACCTCTCACCCACTCCTGCATTCCCACCCCAGAGCCTGCACCCCAGACTCCCTCCCAGAGCCTGCACCCCAGACCTCCTCCCACCACCCAAAACTCCCCTCCCAGAGCCTTAGGCAGGTGGGGGGGGGGAGTTTGGGGGGGGGAGCGGGTTCTGGCCACCACCAAAATTTCTACAAACCTGCCACCCCTGTACCGGGAGTGTTTGCTCACATGCACAGGAGGCTTCTGCAGCCCAGGGTGGTGAGGGAGGCAGTCCTGGGCCATAGGGCTGGACCTAGGGGGGGGGCTGCTGCACCCCCTGGCTTGAAGCTGGTTCCATCATATCCAGGGTTTACAGTTTGGGTCAATGGCTCTTAGTATCCCCCCCCCCCCCACTAGACAAATTGTCCCAGTACCCCTGGTGTGGCTCAGGGTGAAATCCAAGGATCAGTCCCTGGCTGGGAAAAACTTCAGTGTTTGCTGATTCCTTGGTGCAGCACAAGACCTATTTCAAACTTTAAACCTGCCGGGAAACTGGCTAGTCTCCCTAAGGTATTTAAAAAAAATAAATCCTGCTCGATATCTAACTCTGAGGTGGGGCAGGATCATACAAAAGCTCCTGTTTATGCCCTGGGGAGCTACTGACCTGATAGCGCTGGTAATTCCCCACCTTTCAAGGACACAAGATTTTAAATGAAATTAACAAGGACTGCTACCCTTCAGATGGCTCTTGTATATTGCAGAGCTGAAGACAGACCTCCTTTCTTAGCTGGAAGGCACATCTGGAAAGCAGTCTACTTACACAGCTGCCACATCTTAAACCTCCCTCAAAGCCACTAACCCTGTTCCCTCATTCATTCAATGCTGGATAGGTAAATCCCTGACTCTAACTCCCCCCTGATTCCTGAAAGCCACCTCCTGGAACTTTTCTGGTGCACTGCTTCATTGATTCCCTTGCCTTTTGTCTGATGGGTTTTTTTGTTCAGCTAGAAAAGGAGATCATTGCCTTGGTGTATTTCAGTCTTACTTCATGTCAGAGTGGTGTGTGTTGTGGTGTGTAATTTTTTTAATCCTTCTTTCCTTCAGGTTGGGATCAGCTCACTTATCACTACCCAAATGGATTCATTTGTAGACTTAAATCTATATTCTTGAAATCGTCTCAGCCAATTCATTAGATTCCCCTGCCCCCTTTCAATCTGCATTCCTATTACAATGTTGTGGGTCTAGACTTGACTTCTTTGTCCAGGCACTCTCCAGACTTCATTTGTTGCAAGTGATTGCGAATCATAGCTTTGAGGTATCTAACTTGCAAGTGGGGTAATAATTTGTGGCCCACCCTGTTTTCACAGAAAGGGGGAACCATCCTGGTGAGTAACTTCAGTGCATCTCTTTGGTCTGCCCTTGCCTTTTGGAATAAGTCCTTGAACCCACGGCCTGCCTGCTAATTACAAGGTCAAATTCTGCCCTTGGCTGACTTCGGAGAATGTCTGGTGTGTGCCTTCCTGCATATAAAATGTTGGGGTCGAAATTAGCTGTCTCTACTCAAGAAGGAGATCTTGGTGTCATTGTGGATAGTTCTCTGAAAACATCCGCTCACTGTGCAGCGGCAGTCAAAACTGTGAACAGAATGTTGGGAGTCATTTAAGAAAGGGATAGATAATAAGATGAAAATATTATATTGCCTCTCTATAAATCCATAGTATGCCTACATCTTGAATACTGCATGCAGATGTGGTCACCATACTGATTGGGGGTATGGAACCGCTTCCATATGAGGAGAGATTAGAGACTGGGACTCTTCAGTTTGGAAAAGAGACGGCTAAGGGGAAGTGGGGGAATATGATGGAGATCTACAAAATCATGACGAGTGTGGAGAAAGTAAATAAGGAAGTGTTATTACTTCTCATAACACAAGAACTAGGGGGGCACCAAATGAAATTAATAGGCAGCAGGTTTAAAAATAAATACTTCACAGAATAGTTAACCTGTGAAACTCTTTGCCAGAGGATGTTGTGAAGGCCAAGATTATAACAGGGTTAAAAAAGAACTAGATAAGTTCATGGAGGATAGGGTCCATCAATAGCTATTAGCCAAGATGGGCAGGAATGGTGTCCCTAGCCTCTGTTTGCCAGAAGCTGGGAATGAGTGACAGGGAATGGATCACTTGATTACCTGTTCATTTCCTCTGGGGCACCTGGCATTGGCCACTATATGAAGACACAATACTGGGCTAGATAGACCTTTGGTCTGACCCAGGATGGCTGTTCTTATGCCCTTTTGAGAGGGCTGGTCTACTAGTTAGGGTATTAACTTGAGAGATGGGGCTTCAATTCCTGGCTTTACCCCCAGATTTCCTGTGTGACTTTGGGCACAGGGATGGAGAGCAGGGAAGGAGATCTGTACTGCTTCTGAGCAGTTTTGGTTAGCTGCTCCTTCCTAGGAGGCAGGAAGGAACAGCTGACACCAGGCAGTGGGCCACATGGAAGGTCCTTGCAGACTGGATGGCTCTGGCATGCAGGCCACCACTTGAAGCACAATGCTCTGAGCATTACATCAATATAAATCTTCTCTGCAGCTGGCTTGAAATTAACACTCCTTCCCCCTAGCCAGAGGTGTTGCTAAAAGGTGGCTTCTGAAACCCTATGGAGGAGGGGAAAACAGAAGTTGCACGCTACAGAAATTAAGAGAACAATATTGCCTACCCTAAGCATTCAAAAATCCTGAGTGGGGCTCCTGAAAATCACAAGACTTTGAAAACTTCTTTTGAATTAGAAGGTAGATGGCACGGCAGAGCCTGCAAGGTGTCTTGGCTGAGCTCTTTTCCTGCAGCCCTGAGAGCGAGAAACTCTTTTCCAATGAAAGGAGAGATTCTCCTGACTTCAGCAGCTGGGGCCTTAAACGCTGAACTTGGCAAAACTCACAATAAAATTGTGGCTTGGCAACAGTACGGGTGTTAACTTTCTGAATGCCAAATATGAGCTCTTACCAAGCACGTGTGAGCAGCAAAGCAATGTTATTCATTATCGCCTCTTCCTCACTCCCCACTCACATATCACGTAGCTCCACTTATTTTAGTAAAGCAGGAGCTTTAAGTGTTCAAAGCTTCCACCAGCAAGATGTTGGAGCCTGCCCCTCTAAAGGCTTTTTTACTTCACATGGTTCCCATTTATAGCCAGGTTTAAGTGATTTCTTTGTTCCCATGGAGTAGATGTATGGGAAAAGTCACATTTACTCAGTTCAGGCACTCTTTGAACCACCTAGGGCCTGATTCTCCACGGTTCTGCACCTTGTGTAGCCCTGCCAGTGAAAAGTGGATGTAAAAAAGCTACCAGACTAGAATGGTCTGATCCTAGTGTCCTCTCCTGAGATGGATGATGAACTCTGTGGACATGTCTGGGGAGGTCTCTCTGATCTGGATTTGTAAAAATCCAATTACAGGAGACCTGACCAGAATGCCCCTGGAAAGGTGGGAAAGAAGCCACCAATGGCTTTTAAAAGCCTGTCTTGAGGACTTAAATATTTTGCTTGATCTTCTTGTAACTCTCCCCTCTATGTAGGCTAACTGCCAGCATATAGCCAGTGGTACTTCTCCTCCAGTGACCTGGGAACACACTGGATCCCTCCACCCAATCCTCCCAACTACAGAAGGCAGCAAATGTCTTTCTTTCCTGTACCTTGCTGACCCCTGGGATAACAGAGAACAGTTGAAGGCTTCTGCATGTGAGTCTCTGCCAGCTTAGACTGACTTGTGCTGAATAAATCCTAGGTGCTGTCTACCATGTGTGCATAGCAAATGGCCTTCTGAGGGTCAGAGAGCCTGCAGGCTGTCTATTACCCCTTCTCTGTGGAGTACAATACCCCACTTTCTGTACTGTTCAGTGTATTTTTTTAATTACCTGCCCATTGCCCTATGCACACGAGCAATAGAAATGGCTACAGATCTCTGACCAAATCAATCCTGCATTCCAGCTCACCCATTCGGGATTAACAAAACACTTGTGCTGTCCTGGAAAACAGGAGCAAGCAGTTAATGTTCAGTTAACTATGCCCTGAAGGCGAATGGCTCTTGGCTTGTTGGAACGCCTTCTTTTCCACCCTCCTCACAACCTGGGGTTCAAAGTTAAGGAAACCGCACAGAGAATGTCCCAGTGGCAGCCCCTCACATGCAAATAGGCTTGGCAGAATTTAATTTTTTATTATTTTGATGGAAGATACTTAAAAAACCTTTTTCTTATTTTTACCTATTTAAACTTTCATGGTTGTGGGAAATAATGGAGGGTGTCATACAACAATTATTTAATGATAGACATCAAGATTCACAAAGTTAAAGCTTTGTAACTGTCAAAACAAGTTGTCAAGATACAAAATATCCTCAAATCAGAGTTTTAAATTCTCAAGCAGCCAGTTTCTTTCTTTACCTATCTGTAAACCTCAATTAATGGAAACACTTGGTCTTGACACAGTGACAGTTCTATTTTTAAATAATAAATGTCAATAAATTTAATCCTTCCAAGCCTATGGATAAACCAGGGGTCTGCTGACTCGATCAGGCACCATAGTTGGTGAGTTGTTGCACAAGATGGTTCTTGGCTAGCAAGGTCCCTAATCAGCAAGGGTGGAGGGATCTAGAAGGATAATCTGCCTTTCTACCCTTCCTATCCCCAACTTGAAGACCTGCATAATCCTTCCAGACCACTCTGAATATAGGACACTTCTCTCTAACTAGGTTCCCACATTCAAACAGAGTCCTTCTACTCTGCGCCCCTCTCCTGCAGTGTCCCTGTGTGATAGCACATTCTTCACTAGAAGAACTCCAGAGAAAAGTGAAGGGAGGGACATTGGAGGGCTCTCACTCTGACTTTGCAATAGCAGATGCTGGTGCTTAACAGTTCCCTTTGGTCACTGCATCCTGTAGCAAACTAGGAAACCGGACTGTTTCTTTTATATTAAACTTTGGCAGATGAACTCTGTAGCCAGCAGGACCCACTAAACAAAATGAGGAGTAATCTCTTCTGGGACAGTCTGTCTGAGAGTCATGTCAAAGTCTAAGACACAAGCTACATTCTGGAAGGTTTTGTAACTTGTTACATTTCAGTGTGGGGTGGAGGGACCAGCACCACTGACCCTGGCTCCTGACTTTGCCTGAGTCACAACTGACCCTGGAGTAGGTGCAGCTGATGGTATCTTAACTTGAACTTGTTAAAATAAACACAACCCAGTGACAGCCAGTGGTCACAAAAGTATGTGGAATTTACCATCTGTGAAAAGGGCCAGGATGACACCAAAGGCCCAAGTCTCTTCCTCATTTCAAGAGGGATATTGAGGCAAGGTTCCCAGCTGACAAGCCTTGTGCCTTATCTGCAAGGGTCACCTCAAGATGTCAGTGGGGGGAACCGAAGTCTCCATGGCTTTTTCCATCTCTCACCATCCTGAGGCTGCCAACAAGAGGGTCAGATCTATTTGATTCAATCACTAATCAGACTGATAGCAAGGACCAGCTTGTTTAACACAGGTAGGGTGCCCAGTTGTCCTGATTTTTATAGGGCCAGTCCCAATATGTGGGGCTTTTTTATATAGGTGCCAATTACTCTGCACCCCCTGTCCCCATTTTTTCACACTTGCTGTCTGGTCACCCAAAACAGGCCACCAAACACCCATCAGATGGCAGCAACTCAGTGTGTCTGATGGCTCTCTGGTGAGAATAAGAATTGCCTGTGGGAATTCACTCTCTGGAATGAGACTGAGAAGAACCCACCCTGTCTGTTTCATTTGGCTAAGATTTACATCCTGCTTTGTGGCCTAGAAGGGAAGTGTTCCCCCAGGATCATCAACCTGAATCTGTCTAGTGGCAGCTAGGCTACCATTGCAATTGTGTTCCTGCTAAAAGTTAGTGACTCCTTGTTTCCCTAAAAAAAATGAACAGGAGTACTTGTGGCACCTTAGAGACTAACACATTTATTTGAGCATAAGCTTTTGTGGGCTACAGCCCACTTCATTGGACAGTTAAACTTCAGTCTTCAATTTCACTATGAATGTCTTGCGGAGAACAACTTAACTGTAGTGCATGGAACTGAAAAATTGTCTTGAGTCTTGCATACTAAAACTTCCCAGTGATTGCCCTTATGTTCTCAAATATCAAATGCTCCTTCCTTAAACTAGTGCTGCTCTTCTGTGCTGCTGCCAGCACAGAGGTGCCTGAAGCTTAAATGACTAAACACTCTCTGACCCTCTGAGTGGGAAGCAGTGTAATGTCTGTCCAGCAACTGCATGCAATATGTCATGTTATCCGGCTATCAGAAGCCCATCGCAGGATGGGCTCCCCAGTAGTGTTCATCTGATGGCTAGACTGGCTGCAACCATGCCCTGCATACTAGCCCAATGGAGAACGTAAGCAGGGTGCCCTCATGGTGTGAGGCTGCTAGTGGCTTTACTAAGTGAGTCAATAAGAGCTTGACTTCTCAGAGATGGCCAGCACCTCGCTCCTCTGGAAGCTAACTAGACCGGAGTGCTCCGCACTCCTGAAAACTGAGCCGTAACCACAGGCAGACGAGACCACAACTCAGCTTTTCCTTCTGTTTCTAGGAACTCCAGCAGCTCAGCACGCAGTATAGCAACATCAAACTACTCCAGCTTGGTGAGTGAAAGGGCCTCGTAACAAACCAGAGCACGTGCTACCAGAGCCAGGTTGGGTTGCTTTTGAGACATGGGAGTGGAAGATCCGAAGTTGCGTCTCTTCACTAATAACTTAAAGCCGCTCCCCAGATCTCTGGTACTGTACAGATGTCTTATAACGCTTGTGAGACAGTCTGGTTCCTTCTAGTGTTTGAGAAATGGTCCATGCTAATACTTGGCTTTCAGGGTTTGTTGACTTGTCTGTGACAAGGGGTATACATTTAACTGAAACTCACTGTTTCAGAGATCAATGTTGACACCTGACTACTGCCTATTGAAAAGAACTCTTCTTTTCCCTCCCCACCCCCCAACTAATTGTCAGTCCCTCACTAGAGGGGGACTGAGGCAAAACTCCACATTCAACCTCAGTTTGGAGCCACACTTTGTCTGGCTCTCATCTCTATGTGGAATGGCTTGGGAGGGGGGACACCCAAACTCTCAGGTCCTTCTCTCTCCTTTAGCTTGTATTGGATCACACTGTACCAGTCCTGGTGCTGGATTGAGATCATGCAGCCTCTTCGTACCCTGATTTTGATGCGACAAACCTGAAATTGTGGTGCACTCAGCCCCTTCTGGGCATGAAGGAAAAACTGAGCTAAGTCAAGCAAGAGAACAGGCCAGGCACAACCAGATGTGTATCAGGCTGGGGTGAGGAAGCCCTTATTTCCCTCCTTTAAAGGGAAGGCACGTGGGACAACATGGACCACAGAACATTCCTCTTGCTTAAATGTTCTGGCCATGCTTGTTTCAGTGGGACTTAAATTTCCACCAAGCGTATTTCCTACACATCCTGAAGCACTGGCTTTGCATTTGCAGCCCATACTGGGTACACAGACTATCACTGTCCTACAGAATCCACTTCATTGCTGGTGTTTCCTTTCCTCTCTGTGGCAGATGTAGTCTGTGAAAACAGCATAAAGAAAGTAGTCCAGGAAGTGGAAGAGATCTTAGGAGACAAAGGGCTGAACTGCCTCATTAACAATGCTGGTATCAATGTGGTTGCTTCCCTGGAAGAAGTCACGGCTGAAACCATGCTCACCATTTATGAAACCAACACAGTCGCTCAGTTGATGGTCACGAAGGTAAGACCGGGATGTGGGTTTACTTTGGGAAAGAGACTAAAAAGGCTCTGTACTTTGTGTACTGCCCATATAAGTCTTCATGAGCCCCATCTATGCCTTTTACATTGTACAAGCCTGGTGAGACTTCCAGAGACAAGCTAATGCTTAACTGCATGGTCACTGGTGTGGGCCAGCTTACCTGTATTAGTCATTGCTTTGTTCTGCTTTATTATATTTAGTAGTAATGCAAGGAACCTACAGGCTTTTATCCTGTAAGATTTGGCTTTAGTAGATCGTGTGAGGCTTGAGGCCTATAACCCTTAGCATAGATAAACTTAAGTACTGGTAACGCCTAAGTTCTAGGGAACTGAAAGTGGTATGCCAGAGTGGGAATTTTGTCCAGAATACTGACCTCTGCCACCCACAGAACATAGCTGACACCAGCATCTGGAAAGTTCTGGACAGAACCTCTGACTGCAAAGCTGCCATGAGAGCAAATTAACATGTATGCTAATAGGGTAACATCATACATATACTAACCTATAGAAAACGGACACCTTAAGGGGAGGAAATACAAATAAGGACCTCTATTGAATATGCATTGGTCATAGGGTGACCAGAACAAAATATTGGGACACTGCTGCCGAAGCGCAAAAAAAGCTGGAGTGCTGCCGAAGCCAAATATCAGGAAAAATGACGTCCTGACCACACATCTGTTGGGATGTGGGACAGACAGCTGGATATTGGGACAGTCCTGATTTTTATTGGACATCTGGTCACCCTAATTGGTCATGGCAGCATCAGTAACCTACTATTAAAAGTAACATCCCAGGGGCAGCAGAGAGGTTGGAGAAATGTAGATCATGGGAGGGGCCGGAATGATGGCTACTGGGGAAGGTGAGGACTATGAAGGTGATAAAGATAATGGTTAAGTATGAAAGATAAGGGTATAAGGATGAACGTCGAAATGTACTTTCTGTATTATCTCTATCTGCTTTAAGTTTGTGTTTATAATCTTTGCTAAATAATTCATAAATCATATTTATATATAGAAAGCGTTCCTATAGTGAGTGTTGCACCTGTGCATATCAGGGTTCCCAAATTATGATGATTTTTACAATAATCTTACTGGGCCTGATCTTGGGACAAGAACCTGTTAATCCTCAAGTTACAATTATATTTACCCAATTTTGGGTCAGGCTACACTGGCTAATGTCTAACTGACCTCTCTCCAGAATAGTTTAAGAGCTTTGAGAGTCAGCAAGTAGGCCAGTCTCAACCCTAGCCCAGTATGTGGGGTTTCACACCCCACATAGTTTGACTGTGCCCTCTGGTTTGAGCAATGAACAGTACATGGTGGACTCCTCAAAGCTAGCTTCTAGCCTTTTTCTGTAGTATGCAAATCTCCATCTTGTGTGACAAGAATACTTCGTGTCTCTTCAGGGGTTCATAGTGCCAGGTCCTGAGCAGACTCGGTCTGTAAATAATGAAAGGATTAAATCGAGAAGCTGCTTGCTTCATGTGGGTGATAGGTCTGTGGTGGTTCTAAAGTCAGCATAAATCATTGGCTAGCTCTGTAGAGGGTCTACTAGTGTGTTAATGTCACTGCAAGTCAGATAGTAGCATACAGTTGTCATGGCTGTATTGAGCTTGGCTCTTAATAGAACAGAGTGTTTAAACCCAAATTGGTCTTGGTCAGGCTGAGACTGAAATTTAAGTTGAAATGAAATGAACTTTCTCTTACAGGCCTTTCTTCCCCTTCTGAGGAAGGCAGCCCAGTTGAGTACTGGTATGGGTTGTCACCGAGCAGCCATTATCAATATGTCATCTGTTGCTGCCTCCATGCAACTGGTCCAGGCAAATGAGATGTTCCTCAAAGTCTATCCCTATAGAATAGCAAAGGTGGGTGTTTTTTCCAAAGCTGTGCTCAATTGAAACCAGGCAATGCTCTGAGCTAAAGGGGATCCTAAACTGGTAACTAATTTGGAAATAGGGGTTCATTATATGCTGAATAAGATGACTTTACTAGGTAAAGACTTGCTAGTCAATATAAAATAAGAGTAGAGAGCTGTTGGAGCTTTGTGCAGAAAGGAGGACTACCTTCTACCACAAACTTATCTATCAGGAATACAGAACATGCTGTCCTTAACTAACCACTATACAATCCAGGTAAGTGCCTTGTCAATAGTCCCTTCTAAATGCACCCAGCATTCTTAGGGGATCTCCCTAGACCTATGATGTACCTACTGGCCATAGTGCAAGGCTTCTGTCTAATCTCAGCAAGGTGGTCAATAGGGTAAACATTAAATGGATTGCAAGGAGTGGCAGTCGCACCGTGATTAGTGCCAACGTGAATGTGGGTTTTTAACATCTACACATCCAGGGACTGTGATCTGGTATTCGTTGCTGTTAGCCAAGGATGGATTTAACAGAATCCTGGCTGCTTGGGTTAAATGACATATGTCCCTTATGGCAGACATTCTTCCTCCTCCTTCCTCGCCCTCCTGCAACAACACCCCCTTCTCAACTCCTAAGGTTCTAGGACCTTGCTGCTTAGGCACTAAATAGAACATCTGTTTCTTCAGACACTCAAATACAACCATGACTGCACAAACCAAGTGGCTCCATTAAATTCCATCAAGTTGTCCTGTAGGCTGGGGTGGGGGGGAAAGGAAGAGATTACCTTTTCTTTCTCTTTTTGGTCTTAAATGCTTGGATGGAACAGTCTTGTAAATATTCTTAGTTCAAGGGTTCTGAAAGGCTGTATTTATATGGGGAGCTGTGAATATATAGATACAGCCTTTTGGAACCTTTGAACTAAGAATATTTACAAGACTCTTCCATGTGAGTGTCAAACTGCACTTCCAGATCCATCAGAACTTGACCAAAAGATTGCCCCTTCATTCTCCTCTCACTTGCACCAAAATAGCTCCATTGACTTTTGACCTGCTCTTGATTGGCATCTTCTAAGAGAGGAGATTGAAGTCCAGTGTCTGAAGTACATCTTCTGGATGTGACCTTTCTACAGCTCCCTGATGCATCGAGTGGGGAAGCAAGGTACTAATTGGGTGGCCTTCCTTCCAGACCTCAAAGTTGATATGTGAAACTGACCTCCTGATACCATGTTCACTCTTCTAGACTGCACTGAATATGATCACCAGGTGTCTTGCTGCAGACTTGAAAGTGGATGGAATCCTTTGTATTTCTCTGCACCCAGGCTGGATTCAAACTGATATGGGAGGAGACATGGTTAGTGACATTCAGACACTCTTTATTATTTTTTTTTTTAAGGAGGACCAACCTTGCATCTCAACACCTTAAAATATACTGGCTCTCTAGTTCACTCTTGCAATCCACTAATTGTAACTGCTGAAGGCCTTGAAGAGCCAGTTGCCTTAACACATCTCATTAGCTAGGAAACTATATTAAGTGCAACATTAAGGAAGCTCTTGCATACCCATAGGTAGAATTCTATTGCTTGCCTTTTCCTAAGGATACTCCTAATTTTTTAATCTTGATCCTCCTAGGCTCCCTTGCAGATACAAGAAGCTATCCCAGGTATCCTCTCAGTTCTGGCTAATCTCAGCGAAAAAGACAACGGCTCCTTCCTAGACGGGCAAGGGGGAACACTACCATGGTAACACACCATGGACTACAGGATGAGAGTAGTGCCAGAAGTTAAATCTTGGTTGGCAATGTCTTTGTCTAGATCTCTTTGACTATTTCAACTAGTATATTAACAAAAAAATCTGTTATCCAACATGTACAGATATTTGGAAGTTTTTTGCTCTGCTGTTCAAATAACCTCTGCAAACCCTGAGAAGGAAACAGGACATGGGGAACAATACCTTTTAGCAAACACTCCAATTTACCAAAACTACAGCTACAGGGGTGGGGATTATTCCTATTGGATTCCAAAACCAAAGCAGTAAAAATACCTACTCTTATGGGTGAGAGTTGCAGGTGAGACACTCCATTCAGTGGAGTTGGGCCTGTTTACATCAGATAAAGGGGTTGCTATGGTCCCTGCTCCAAGTTGGAGGGACATGTCTGGGTGGCTCCTGCAGTCTGAACCACTCTGGTAACTCTTGTACTGTAAATCAGTCTAGCAGGTCAAGGCTGTTCAGGTGGGTAAAGACTGAAGCTTTAACCCTGGTCACTGCACTTCTGGAGAAGAGAAGTGTCCCTATGGTCATGGCACAAGACACTTGTTTCCTTCCTTGCTGTGTGACCAATCCCCTGGTCCATGCAGGGGTGAAGTTTGTATGTTTGACTCCTAACTTGTCTTCAATAAAAGCTGCTTTTGTTTTAAGCCAAAACCACTTATTTACTGAACTACTTCAGAGGCTTTCTACTGGACCTAACTTAGGAGGCTCAAGGTGTGTGAGATCAAAATTCCATTTGAAAGGCATTGTTCTGTCCAGTGCCACTTGAGGGCGGCTGTTAGAGGCTGGCTCCATTCACCGGTAGTGCCCAAACCATGGAGAGCCACTGATTCTTGGGTACAAAATGTTACCTCTAGCTGGGATAGAGCAGAGATCTCGGAATACTGACTGAAGTAAGGGTGGAAACAAAGAGGTTTTTTTTTTATTGCAAGAACTATGAAGTTTTAAAAAGTTGCTCTTTTTAGAAACTGTACTTGCTGAAGGACTAATCTCTTAAGTCAAGCTGCCTAGTTATTTTAATGGTGGGCTGAAGAATAGCTTCCTCTCTGAGTTGTGATTTTTAATAGCAATCTGGAGAAGGGCCAAAGTTGAGCTGTCTCTTCCTGGACAGTAGCTATTCTTCAAAACCTGCCCCCATCTGAGCTTGCCAGCTGGTTTAAGATACAGATCCCATGACCAGGGACCTAGCTCAAGTTTTCACTTTATTTTTTTTCCCTACTTCTCGTGCCAGAGTTCCAACGGCAGAGGAACCATAACGAAGTCTGACTGAACCAACTGCTGTGGGAGGTGGGGACTACCTTCTACCTCATGGGTTCTCAATATGCTATAAACCTCCACGGGCCACCTGTGTCATAGTAACCGCTTTTCTGCACATGAAAGCCAGGACTGGAGTTGGGGGGGGGGGCAAGCAGGTCAATCATCTGGGGCCTTGTGCTACAGGGACCCCTACCAGGGCTGGCTCTACCATTTTTGCTGCCCCAAGCAAAAAACCAGTTGGACTGCTGCCACCCAAACTGCCAAAGCAGACCAGGGGGGAGAACTGCTCAGACCGCCAGCTGAACTGCTGAAGCATGCCCCCTCCCAAAAAACTGCCTGGACTCTGCCACCCCAAGAATGGACAGAATACTGCTCTTTAGGTGCTGTCCCAGGCACATGCTTGCTGTGCTGGTGCCTGGAGCTGACCCTGGCCTCCATGAAGCTACATTGCTCAGGCTTCGGCATCAGCCTTGGCTGGCAGGGCTCAGGGCCTGGCCTTCAATCCCCTGTACTGGGGCTTCAGCTTTCTGCCCTGGGCCCCAGTGATTGTGTGGTGGCCCTACCTAGAACATGCTCATGCCCCTCCCCTGGGGGGGGCCACAGACCCCTGCTTGAGAACCACTGTTCTACATCTCATTCAGGTGTTAATACCAGCATGTGGCCTCTTGAAAGAGTGCAGGAGCCCCTGCTCACTGCCAGCTGGTGGGATACATAGTGGGGGCCCATTCCTGCCTTCCCACTTCAAATGAAAATGAATGTCTATACAACAATTGCAAAAGTATAGCTTGTGTTATAAAAGGCTCGGTCCCTATTACCTTGTTCTTATTACATTGTAAACAAACTAAGTTAAACTGTGTATTAAGTTTGGGTTACTAAAAACAAAACAAAACAAAAACAGAGTAAAGTTTTTGTTAACTAACAAAAGTTGTTTAAGTTGCATCCCACAGACTAAAGACACCAAAAGACGACATGCCACAAAAATACCAAATGATATCAGTATACAGTGAAGAAACCCCCAAGCATCAAGAACAGAACAATGACATGATTTATAAATAAGAGACTGGTTAAACACATCTCTATCTACCATATATGTTAACTTAATTGTTCAATCAGCTAACAACCACTAGCTGGACCAGAATAAGCCATCATTTAATTACAACTTGGTTACTATGTAAAAACAACTGTATTATTGTTGTACTGTTGTCTTATTCCTGTATTGTATTATTGCTGTACTATACTTACAATGTGCATAACCTTGCTAAACTGTTTAACCAACACCCAGGTAAAAATTAACAAACAAATGGCAGCAAACAACATGAAGGCAAGGAAAAAACAAAGTGGTAAACAAACAAAAAGTTACACAGTAACTACAACTTGGGTAAACAAATTGCCTGTTAGTACTAGTCATAATTTGGGTCAGTGACACTGCATCCTAACTGAGGCACATGTTATTCAAAACAATCTTGTTCAGTGTCTGGGAACCAATACTACATCCTGACACAGCACTATTTGATAAATTGGTTACTGTCTATTCAGTAGGTTATGTGGAAGACAGCATCCATAAGAAACAACTGGATCTATGTCAACTACTTGTGTATCGCAGAGCCGTGCAACCAATGGAACAGAGAAGCTAGCCACTTCTATTTCCTGCCTGGTGAAGCTAACCAGAGGGTGACAACTAGCAGTAAGGGTAACCTATAACATGAATGGACAGTATGGTGTAGTAACTAATTACAATATATTTATATATAAAGGCCTCAGTGGTAGTGTCACTACTCCAAATTTCTGTTTTTCTTCTCATATACATAGCACTGTGGGACACACCATCACAATCCCTATCCAGTATTTCAAAACACTCAGCCTACTATTAATGATGAGACAGGTGATAACTGGAATTGCCCTAATAGGAGTGTGTTTCTATCTGTATCACCAAAGTAAAAGGACCAGAGTACAACACCGGACTGGAAAAACATGGTTATGCTTGGATATAAGGTGGTGTCATATGTACACATACATACTATACATATATGCCCATACACACTACAAATATATATGCCATATCCATATAATTCATATATATTAATTATTTGGGAGTGCCTCTAAGGCTCAATCATAATACTACATTCCTCAGTCACGGTCCCGGGCCTAACATTCCCAGGCCCGCCATAAGGGACTAAAAAATAATTGGATAATAAAATCTGTCTGCCAGTCTTACGAGGGAATGTGCAGACTAAACAGACGGATGGGGCATAAGTGTATGGATGGTAAAAGAAGGTAACCACATAACAGCGTTTAGCCCACTGGGTTATCCTCAGTCCATGCATTATGCTTTTCCGGGTCGATGGGTAAACATCCTCCCCGTAAAAGGACAAAAAGTGGGCGAATGTAGTAAGAGGAGGCCCTGAGATATAAACCTTGGTATCAGAGGCCCAGTACGAGGCCTGAGGCCTAGACTAAAGTAATGGTCAAGACTTTGCTAACATAAAGCAAAGCTAAGCTGTGAGCCAGAGGCAGACCCTGCTCACAGAAACTGTCAGGAAAAGGGCTGATGTTGCATAAATATATATTCACCTAGCAAAGTTAAAGTACAGAACACTCCAATACTGGAACATAGGGTTACCATAGTTCAACAATCAAAAAAGAGGATGGGAGGAGCCCTGCCCTAGCCCCGCCCCTGTCCTGTCCTAGCCCCGTCCCTGCCCCTTCCACTCCCTCCCACTTCCTGCCCCCTCAGAACCCCCAACCCTCCCCCCCACGCCTTGTCCCCTGACTGCCCCCTCCTGAGACCTTCCCCACATCCTAACTGGCCCCCTAGGACTCTACTCCCTACCTGTCCCCTGACTGCCCCAACCCTTATCCACACCCCCACCCCCAGACAGACCCCTGGAACTCCCACGCCCCATCCAACCACTCCCCACCCCCTGACAGCCCCCCCGCAAAACTCCCGACCCATC